CGCTTTTAATCAAAAGGGTTTTTTTTGGGGGGGGGGTGGATTTTGGAATACCGCATTTGTACATCTGTCAATGAGGAGATATATTGGACACGGGACCCAAGTCTATGGGCAAGTTTCAGTTCTGTCTCATACAAAACATATTATACACATAACCTGAAGGTTCATTGAACCATCAGAAAGCAAAGGTCTCCCCACAAATGTTGTGAACCCTTTTGAATTTCTAAGTATTTCGGAGGCCGGCTGCTCAACCTGTCGCACCTGAGGAACCAAGTTGGTCACACAACCTTCCCCAGACGAGGGTTTGGCCTCTCTGCTTCCTTTTGGGCACAAGGAAAGAGCACTGATTTACGATTCCCTTTTCCTAGTTTGTCCACCCGGTTTGTCCACTATTGTCTCGCTCTTGCAGTCGTGTTATGGCTATTAGAGGAGTTCAGAGAGATTTTCATCCTTGTTTCGGGAGGAAACCAGACTCACCTTTTTCAAGAAATTCGATGTACCAATCAGGTGGAATGTAGTCAGTTTGGCAAGATTTTCCTAACTTTATCTGAGGTCCCTTCCACACAGATGAATAAAATCCCACATTACCTGCTTTGAACTGGAATATATGGCAGTGTGGTCTCAGATAACCCAGTTCAAAGCATAGATTGTGAATTTTTCTGCCTTGATATTCTGGGTTATATGGCTGTGTGGAAGGGCCCGAAGAGCGCACCTACTACGCCCTAGAATGAATGCAGTTTGTCAGCAGTTTAATTGACGTGGCACAATTTCACAAAGTCTTCCCCTCCTCCGACAAAGGATGCCTCACCAAACTATAAATCCCAGGATTCCATAGTATTGACACATGGCAGTTCAAATCGAGTCAATCTGTATGAATTCACCTTATTTACTTTTACATTCTGGGAAGTTGGCTTTGGTGGTGTTAGAAATGCATTCCCTGCAGTCCAAACCTTTCTGGTTGGGAAATAATAAGACATTGCGTTTCTTTTAAGGAGATTTAATTTCCAATTTGGGTTCCAAGCTTTAGGGCCCTTCCACACAGCCCTATAACCCAGAATATCAAGGCAGAAAATCTGCTTTGAACTGGGTTATCTGAGTCCACACTACCATATCTTCCAGTCCAAATTTTATTCAGCTGTGTGGAAGGGGCCTTCCTCTTAAATATAAAGTAGAGGACTAAAACCGATCCTTTCCGTATGTACTGAACCCCCTTCCACACAGTTGAACGAAATTCCACATTATCTGCTTTGAACTGGAATATATGGCAGTGTGGACTCAGATAACCCAGTTCAAAGCAGAGATTTTGGGATTTTTCTGCCTTGATGTTCTGGGTTATACTGCTGTGTTGAAGGTCCCTGAGTTTCCTTCTACTCTGCCATATAAAATTCAAATATAATCCAGTTCAAAAAAATATCTTTTTTTAAACTGGATTATATGGCAGTGTAGATGAGGCTTGAAACACTCTGAATTGTTCTGGCTTCTTCCCACCTCCTTCAAATCACCGCTCAGTAATTGCAATCGGATTTCAATAATTGCAATTGAGTTTCAGTAAGACTTCTCTTAGGGCCCTCCCACACAGCCATACAATCCAGAATATCAAGGCAGAAAATCCCACAGTATCTGCTTTGAACTGGGTTATTTGAGTTCACACTGCCATATATTCCAGTTCAAAGCAGATATTCTGAGATATAGGGCTGTATGGAAGAGCCCTTAGCCTACTTTTAACTAACTGTCTCAATGAGTGCATCTACATTGTAGCATTCTTGCAATTTGACACCACTTTACCTCCTATGGCTCAATGCTATGGCATCCTGGGAGTTGTGTTTTAGTGAGGCAGCAACACTCTTTGGCAGAGGAGGCTGAAGACCTTCTAAAACGACAACTACCAAGCTCCCTTAGCCTTGAGTGTTGCCAAACTTCATTAACTTTACAGTGTGGATGCGCCCAATTCCAAGTTTCCTCCCCCCCCCTCCAGAAGTTACTTTTCAAGACACGACCGCAAAATAACAAGAAGCGGAGAAATTGAAATAATACTAAATAATACCAACTCTTTTCATTTCCTGGCGGCGGGGGAGGGGTATTTCCCCACCCCTTTTTGTCTTTTTAATTTTGAAATGTCATCCAGAAACACTGTTCAATAAGAATAATAATAATAAATATAACGAGAGTTCTCGGGAATATATAAAAAATAAAGACAACGGCCAACGTCTGTGTGAAGTCCGAAGCAAAAGAGGTTTCGAGCAAGCGGAGGGGGAGAAAGGGAAAGAGGACACACCGGGCAAGATCCCATCCGCATCGGCTCGGGGGGTCTGAGTCCGAATCTTGCCGCCCCCGAATCTCAAGACATCCGAGTTCCCAAAGGCTTCAGCTCTGAGAAGAGAACTTGACACGGAGCTGCAGTGTTAACTCGTCTTCCCTTCAGGTGAGCTTCAAAACATGAGAGGTCTTGCCTGCCAGGAGGGATTTGCTGTTGTTGATGATGTTGTTGACATTTGACAAGCCCAACGCCAGTCTAGTTCCTAACTTGGATCTATATCAAAGGTGCTATACAGCCCAATAAGCCTGAAACGTCACTTTTTCGGGTTCAGAGCATCGGAAACTGAGGGTGCATCAACACCAGGCTTGGGCTAACTTCGGCCCTCCCTCTGGGTGCTTAAGCGGCTGAGGGGGGAAAGGAAGAGGCCTGAGGCTGTTAGGAATGGTGGGAGTTGAAGTCCAAAACATCCAGAGGGCCAAAGTTTGCCCAGGCCTGATCTACACTGATGCAGCTTGCCATCACGCTAACTGCAATGTAGGCCCAATAAAGCCCAAGGTTAAATGTCTGTCTCTCCTGGCTCAATGCTAGGAAATCTTGGGAGTTGTAGTTGGTGAGGCAGAGAAGGTGAAAGGGCTTGTAAAGCTACAGCTCCCAGGATTCCATAGGACTGGGCCATGGCAGCCAAACTGTATCCATTCTGCAGTAATGCACCCCTGGTTTCCAAAGGGAGGGAATGGCTTTGGCTGGATCCACACTGCCAAATAATGCGGATGATCTGATTGGAACTGGATTATATGAGTCTACACTGTCCTATAATTCAGTTCAAAGCAGATAATCTGGATTTTATATGACAGTGTAGATAGGGCCCTAGTTCTCTCTACATCCCCGATTTGAAAGGATGTATTTACACCCCTCCTCCCTTGGGATGTTGAAATCAATAGGACTCTCCCCATAAAACACCAAGCTGTTACCTTGTCCAGGTCCTTACATAAAAATTGCTTTCTACTGTGCGTCTACAATTGTCGAATTCGTGCACCACTTTCACTGCCCTGACTCAATGCTATGCTATCGCTGGAGGGGTCGTTTTGTAATGCCTCACCAAGCAACAAACCCCAGGATTCCGTGGCCGTGAAAGTGGCTTCGAACTGCATTCATTCGACAGTGTAGACACAGGGCAACCTTGCTCGGAGGGTCTGGAACTAAGGGGAGGCACATCTCCACTGCCAGTCCAACCCCTGCCAAGAAGCAGGACAATCTTGAAGGAAGTGGTTTCTCTGGGCAGAAGATGACAGAGGGAATCCCGAAACCAGTTGGAGGCTGGCGTTGACACATCCGCAGAAGGGGTTTCCTGGGATGCTGTGAGTTTTCCCGGGCTGTATGGCCATGTTCCAGAAGCATTCTCTACGGGAGTCCGCCATAGCAGAGCACTTGATGAACCAACCTGGACGCAGCATACTATTTGAGGACACAGAAATGCTGGACTACTCTATAACAACCACCATGTCAGGCTACACAGAGAAGCCACTGAAATCTACAAGCATGTGGACAATTTCAACAGAAAGGAGAAAACCATGAAAATGAACAAAATCTGGCTACCAGTATTTAAAAAGCTCTCTAAAATCAGGACAATAAACAAAGAGCAACGCCCCCAAAATAGGGGAAGTGCAGACAAGAATCAATCCGGGCCAGCTAACATCTCCAAAGAATTTCCCTAGGCAGCAATCAGTCAGGCTTTGAAGCTGCAAGGCTATTCAATGCTAATCAAGGTAGCAATTGCAACATTCACACTTGCCTCAAACAGACTAGAGTTCTTTCTCCCACCCCGGAAAATAAATCACAACCTCTGAGGATGCCTGCTATAGATCTGGGCAAAACGTCAGGAGATACTGCTTCTGGAACATGGCCAGACAGCCCAGAAAACTCACAGCAACTCAGTGTTTTCGACCATGAAAGCCTTCGGACAAAACTTTCGTGGGAGTTTGTGGTCTCCTTCGGGCTGCAGTAAGTTGTCAGTCCACAACACTTTCGTAGGGGTTTGCAGTCTGCAATAAGGAGTCAGTGTAGATGGGGCCGGAGAACGGAATGGGAAAGGGAGAGACACCAGAGTGGAAGAAGGAGCGAAGAGGAAGAGGAGAAAGAAGTGGAAAGGAAGAAGAGGAAAAGTAGCAGGAAGAGGAGGAGGAGGAACAGAAAGAAGAGGAAAGGAGGAAGAGGAAAAGTAGCGGGAAGAGAAGGAGGAAGAAGAAAGAAGAGGAAAGGGGAAGAGGAAAAGTAGCAGGAAGAGGAGGAGGAAGAAGAGAAAGAAGAGGAAAAGAGGAAGAGGAACAGAAAGAAGAGGAAAGGAGGAAGAGGAAAAGTAGCAGGAAGAGGAGGAGGAGGAAGAGGAAAGTGGCAGGAAGAGGAGGAAGAAGAAGAGGAAAGGAAGAAGAGGAAAAGTAGCGTGAAGAGGAGGAAGAGGAGAAAGAAGAGGAAAGGAGGAAGAGGGAAAGTAACAGGAAGAGGTGTAGGAAGAGAAGAGAAAGAAAGGGGAGGAGGAGGAGGGGAAGAGGAAAGGGAGGGGAAGCAGCATGCATGCGGCACCACCCGGGCGCTCGGGCGGGCTCAGTGTTCCGGGGCGTCCCTTCGTGCCCTGGCCCTGGCGGGGCCTTCTGGGTGGGTCAGTCCGCCGCTGGGCTCGTCGGCGTGCCTCGGCGCGTGTCCCTTGTGGTCCTCACCTTCACGCTCCCTCCCTCCCTCCGGCGGCTCCTCACTTGAGCAGGTCCTTGGCCTCGGAGGAGAGCCGGGCCAGGCTGGCGGCGGCAGCGGCGGCGGCGGAGAGGCCGGCGAGGTGCGGGGGCGGCGGGGGCGGCGGGGGCACCTGGCAGATACTGCAGGGGCAGGGCAGGCCGGCCCAGTGCTGGAAGGCGCCCGCTCCCCCGCCCCCGCCACCGGCCCCTCCTCCCCCGGCCCCCCCGCCCAGCTGCAAGGCGGGTGGGGGCGCGGCGGGGGGCGCCTTGAGGAGCGGGTGCGGGGCGCGGAGGGTGGGCAGGGCGGGCGGCGGGTTGGCGGCCGAGGCCAGGAGCGGGTGCACCGGGTGAAGGGCGGCGTGGGCGGCGGCGGCGTGGGCCGGGTGCCCGGCGGCGGCGGCGTGGCTCCCGCAGTGGAAGGCGGAGTGGTGCCCGCCGTAGATCTCTCCCACCAGGCGCTTCATCTCCTCCAGCGAGCTGGTGAGCATGAGGATGTAGTTGCGGGCGAGGAGGAGGGTGGCGATCTTGGAGAGCTTGCGCACCGAGGGCCCGTGCGCGTAGGGCATGACCTCGCGGAGCCCGTCCATGGCCAGGTTCAGGTCGTGCATGCGCTTCCGCTCCCGCCCGTTGATCTTCAGGCGCAGCTGCTGCAGGTCCTGCTCCGAGAGCTGCTTCTTCAGCTTGTACTTGGCCGCCTCCGCCGCCGACGAGGAGGACGACGACGAAGAAGAGGACGAGGACGAGGAGGACGAGGAGCCCTTGGAGCTGTTGCGGGCCAGGGCTTCGTTGGAGGAGGAGGAGGCGCCCTTCGGGCCCGTCTCACCCTGCGTGGAGGAGACCGAGTGATGGTGGTGATGGTGGTGGTGATGGTGGTGGTGGTCCCGCAGGTACATCTCCTCCATGTCGGGCGAGGAAGCTCTGCTGGAGACGGAGCTGGAGTCAGAATTCATGGTACGGGGCCAGGGAAGGAGGGAGGGAAGGAGAGGGGTGGCCGAGGAGGAGGAGGAGGAGGAGGGCGAGAGGAAAGTCGACGCCAGTAGCCACCTCCGAGGGAGCCCCAGGTGATGATGGAAGATGAAGAAGAGCAGCAGCCCAAGCCTCAGGGCCGGAAAGGGAAGTCCTTGCCCGCTCTTTAACTCTCCTTCAGCCCTTCCCACTCCAGTCTCTCCGCAAGAGCGGATTGGTCCTGGTGTCGCCGGCACTGAGGGCGCGCTTTCTCTGAAGGCAGGGCTTTTATAGAGGCAGGAGGAGGGGAGGAGGAGGGGGGCAAAAGGATGCCCCTTCCCGTCTATGAAAGGAAGGAGAAAGGGGGCTTGAGGAGGAGGACGGGAAGCTTCTTTCGGGGCTTCTCCGGCTGTCCCATTTAGTCAAGGAGAGAAACCTAGCCCCGCCTTTCCCCCCTGTGATTGACAGCTCGCCCTCGACGGGAGGGGGCGCCTCCGAGGCGAGGGGCGAGGGGAGGGTCGGGTTTATTATAGAGGAGGAGGTATGGCCCATACGGAATAGTCAAGTGTATCCTGTGAGGAAGTAAACAGGAATTGGGGGGGGGGGGGTTGGAGGAGGAGGCGGCTTGCAAAGTCCCGCTAGAGAAGTTTGGAAGTTGCTCCTCGGAGGAAAAGCGTGGAGGGGGACCGGGGACAGAGCAGGACCCCCCACCCCCTTCCTCCTCCGCCTGGCCCTAAAGGAAGCCCACTCCAGAGAGAGAGAAATAGAGAGAGAGAGAGAGAGAGAGAGAGATAGGAGAGGGAGCAAGAGAGAGAGGGGGGAGGGGAAGGGGGGCTCTCAGGAATCCATTCGGCCACGCAATCCCTCCTATTTCAATTCTAGTTCCTTCACTATCGCCTCTTGGTCGCATTGAAGATCTGTTTCGCACGGAAGGAAAGGAAACTCACCTCCCACCATACCATTTTATCCCTGATTTTTACAAAATTCCTCTCCTCAGTTTACCCATGAGAAAAAAAGTCTTGTTAAGTGCCATAGTTGAGGCTTTATTTTAAAGGGGGGGGGGGGTAACCATTGCCGTTCACTCCAACCTCTGAATTGAAGTAAGCACTTCCGATTTCAGTAGACTGTGGCTCCTTCGGTCCTGGGGTTGGTTTCAGATTTCCAGTCTGCCTCCGTGTCCTTGCTTCCGGCAGATCGGGCTGTTGGGAGGCCAGACATGAATGAGTTGCATTGACAACCTTCCGAAGGTAGGCACCTTTCCCCTTCCAAACTCCCCACGCTTTCGAAGTTATTGAGCCGCTCCCTATAGTATGCCTTTCGGCCGCCTTCTTTACCCCTCCGCAACGTCATCACGAAACGGCCTTTCCCCAAAAGTCTTTCCCCAGGAACTACCACTCATTCCGCGTGAGGCCATCTCATCATCAACCTCGATATAGATGGACGAAAGGCGAAGTCTCCCTTCTACAAACCCGTGCCTTTGGGTTTATTTATGGATTTATTTATTTACGGCATTTCTATGCCGCCCTTCTCACCCCGAAGGGGACTCAGAGCGTCTTATAAGAGATATATATATATATACACATACATACACATACAAGGTATTGTCGAAGGCTTTCATGGCTGGAATCATTAGGTTCTTGTGGGTTTTTTCGGGCTATATGGCCATGTTCTAGAGGCATTTCTCCTGACGTTTCGCCTACATCTATGGCAATCTATAGATTGCCATCTATGGCATCTATGCATCTATACCTCTGAGGATGCTTGCCATAGATGCAGGCGAAACGTCAGGAAAAATGCCTCTAGAACATGGCCATATAGCCCGAAAAAACCCACAAGAACCTAGCTATTAAATTATTACCATAGTACAATATCATCATTATATATTACTATATTGTACTATACCATTATATTGCAATATTACATGAAATATAAAACATATTATAATATCATATTATTATTACTAGCATTATATTGTATTACACATAATTACATAAATTTTAGTGTAGTATTTATTATTATCATTAGTATTATATTGTACTACATATAATTACACAAATTKTAGTATAATCTTTTGGAAGTCACCAATTCCCATTTGGTTCTTGRGTCTACCCTTTGGTATTTGATTATTTAATCATTTCTGAAGGAGTTTACTGAGATTTTAAAGGCGTTTATATCGGAAAGAAAGCGGGGGGGGGGGGATACAAAAGATACCAGGAATATTTTGGCAAAATTTCGCACCCTCAGTCTCTGCTTGTCTTTGAGATCTGGATTCTAAAATACTTTAAATCGTCTCTTGGTGAGATATCTATCTATCTGTCTGTCTGTCTATCTATCTGTCTATCAGGAGCCCTCGATGGCGCAATGGGTTAAACTCTTGTGCCCTGAGGTTGGAATCGAGGAGAGTGCGGATGAGCTCCCTCTGTCAGGTCCAGCTCCCCATGCGGGGACATGAGGGAAGCCTCCCAGAAGGATGGTAAAACATCAAGCATCTGGGCGTCCCCTGGGCAACGTCCTTGCAGAATGCCAATTCTCTCACACCAGATGCGACTTTGTTCCTGACACGAAAAAAAAATGTCTGTCTGTCTGTCTGTCTGTCTGTCTATCTATCTATCTCATATTGCATTATTTAAATATCTAATCTGTTATAGGAGGTTACATTATTTTAATGCATTTTCCCCAAAACAAGGCGATCAAGGTGGTGACATTTTGTCTCGTGGAAAATGACTTGGAAGTCAGTCCCATTTCTCCCCGCGGGACTGATTTCTGAGTGGAGCTAAATAGAGTTGTCACCGTCTGTGAACATCTGTTTTATATCGGTCACTCGGTAGTAAATGTAATTAGTTCCTCGCGGACTACGTTCCAAGTAACTTCGAGGACAGTCTGCGATCCTGGGCAAGTGAATAAAGTAACATTTTATGTATTTTATTGTATTGTACTTATTGTTTGATTTATGTTGTAAGCCGCCCCGAGTCCCCAGGGGAGAGGGAGCGGGATATAAACAAACATTATTATTATTATTATTACTATTATTATTATTAATGTTAGAAGGGAAATCATGCCTTCTTTTTCCTTCTTTTGAGGTCGTTTCTTTCGTTTTGCTGAAAATAAACACTGGCATGAGTGGAGAATCCCGCGTGGGAGGGAAAGAGAGGAAGGAAGAGGGAAGAAGGGATGGAGAGAAGGAAAGAGGGGGAAGAATAGAGCCAAAGGACTTAAGTTCGGACTGAAGCTCCTATATTCGCAATATAGAACTTTGAAATGGCATAATAATAATAATAATAATAATAATAATAATAATAATAATAATAATAATGCTTTATTGATAACCCTCCCTATCTCCCTGAAGGGACTCAGAACAGCCGACCCTAAAGAGATGAGTTCAAGATCACCACGTCCACATTTCTGGTTTTGTCTCTGTGTGTCCCAAATGATCCTTTTGTTGTTGTTGTTGTTGTTGTTGTTGTTGTTGTTGTTGTTGTTGTTGTTGTTGTTTTCCTCGCTTTTATCTCTTGATTGAGAAGCAAAGCCAAGTCTCATTGAACGCTGGTATTTCACAGCAGAGCACCTCCATGATTATTTACAAAACAACTAGTCCCCTTGCCTTTTGTAGAACATACTCCATTCTTGAGTCGCTTTGAATGCGGTTTTCCTGCTTCTTGGCAGGGGGTTGGACTGGATGGCCCACGAGGTCCCTTCCAAATCATTATTCTATGAAAATATTAAATGCTTGAGGACACTCTCAGTGGAGGGCTTTGTCTCAAAATATTGGTTGCCAGAAGACAAAGAGGGGCCACTTATACAACTATAATTTTAATTGAATTATTAAAATAGTCATACAATGTAAATTGTAGCTGCATGCAGTAATCATATTGGAGCCTCTATTATATTTTCAAGATACTACAAGGCTATCAACATTTGAAACACATCTTATTTATTTATTTATTATCTACAGTATTTATATACCGCCTTTCTCACCCCTGGGGGGGACTCAAAGCGGTCTTCTAATGTTTAAGGGAGCCCAGTTGCCATCCAGCAAGCTGACGCTCTGGCCAGTCTGCCACTGGATACTATAAATCCCCAGATACCACAATGGACGCAATGGGTTAAACCCTTGTGCAGGCTGAACTGCTGACCTAAAGGTTGACGGTTCGAATCGTGAGACAGGGTGAGCTTCTGTCTGTCAGCTCCAGCTTCCCACGTGGAGACATGAGAGAAGCCTCCCTCAGGATGGTAATACATCCGGCGTCCACTGGGCAACGTCTCTGCAGACCGCCCATTCTCTCATACCAGAAGCGACTTGCAGTTTCTCAAGTCGCTTCTGACACGATTAAAAAAACACCACAGACTGGAGATATGAGTAGTATCCAAGTACTTATGAAAAGTCAAAGCGTAGCCATGGGGACAAATGTAACATTCTGTCAAAGATCAACGCACGAAACCCCATGGACCTGAGTCTTCCAGGGCCCGTTTGAAATCCCCAGAGGACTTAATTCCCCAATTTCCATGGATCTAACAAGGCACCTTGTTAGATCCATGGAAACACTGGTCCAGAGGCTTTTCTTGTTATATTATTCATGGAAATGCTGCCTTTCCCCCACTAATGGGACTCAAAGTGGCTTACAAATTACTAAAACCATTACAGATGAAAAAAATATGTAAAAACGTTATAGATAGATGTGTGTGTGTTTGTGTGTTATTTAAAAACTCATGGAACAATCTGTCGAATTCAAGTAATTGAAAATGTATTAAATGATAATATTTTATAAATCAACCAAAACTGTATCCCAGTCAGTTCCTATTATCCTTGAGGAAACAGGAATATGTTTACTTGCTGGCAGAAAGGAAGGAGCCATCTTTAGGGAAGCAGCCATCTCTAGGGAAGCAAGTCTGGGAGCAGCCACCAAGGAGGTCCTGTCCCTCGGTCCCACAAATGAATTTCAAATAGTAATGGGACAAAAAGGTCTCTGTTGAAGATCCTGAAGCTCTAACTTGGCCATAGAGCAAA